GTTCTAAGTGAACAAGTGACCAAAACAATCGTGTACGTATCTGACAAGGTGGAAGATCTGGTACGATATACCGGTCAAGTAAAACTCAAACAAAGCGAACAATCTCTTAGTGAGATCAGACCCCAAATCGGTAAAGTGAGATTTGTACACGACATATATCAATTCCAATGTATTATGGTTATCGTCGTAGGCCTCATATACATACGAATTTACATCGGAGCCGGCATATACTTCCCCGACAGTGGTTTGGCTTACTATATCTGTAAACATGGTAACTTTCAAACTAATATTAAAAATTTTATCAGGAATTGTATTTGGTGAATCTTTTGACGGTAATGGTGACAATAAATTCAGATCTAAGTCAACACAGTTTGTCAACAGTTCAGACCATGGTTCTGTGCTTGGTTCTTCTACAGAAGAATCATAACTAACTATCGATCTAATCGTTTTAACTAGTTGTATCTTTTCACCACAAGGTGTATTATACCGAATGCACTCGGGATTTGCCTCCACACGCAACCAAAAGTTAGTTATATTCTGTTCCAGTGCTTCTGGAGTTTTGTGAGCAATCACCGAATATCTTTGCCCAACATGAATAGGTACACGCTGGACCCATTGTGATTGATTGTGCTCGACGTAATGCCCTTCAACCTCAATGACTTGTAACAAATGTCCATCAATAGAAAAATAATATTCTATTAGTGCACTAGATATGTGTATATATATATATATGTTTTTAATTTATAGCAACAGAAGATACAACAATTCGAATAAGAAAATTTTTAGTATTACCCTGCGTTTGTTATGCGGAATCGATATGTAGCATTTTTTTCCGACAAATCATGCACTATTCCGGTGTTGGCAACAAAGCATGGAAGAGTAGAATTGTATTGGTCTATATCATTTGGACAAGTTACTTGGCCCCCACTACAATCTAATGCACAGACATTATAACAAAAAATAGCATATGGCAGTGATGTAGTGACGTCACTACCTAAATTTTATATAACTTGAAGGTGATGTTAAAAGGTAGCTACCTGTGACCTCCGTGCTGCTTACATTACTAAGAATTCCTTGGCCTTTGCCATTAATCAGAACCGAATGCGGAACGGGCTATTAGAAGTGAAAATGTAATAGTATTTTTGAACTGATTTATTAAATGAAAATTTTACTATTTTACCTCGTAAAGTGCGCTTTGGTACTGATAGCCTGTAGTGTTGGGCAAATTTATGTAGTCCTCCAATAATTCTTCGGCTTTTCTATGATACCAATCTGAAATAAGTATACTGATATCCTTATAGTCTTTATACGGACTTTCTTCTTCTTGAATAATTAACAAGCCATAAAGTCCATCCATACGCTGAGGTTTATAATGTGAATGACTAAGTTTTATATTATATTTCCATTATTTCCCTTATCATAAATGTGTGATAAACATAATTATTTAAATTATTTACTTACTACCAATGAGTACCAGGATCATTATTCGCCCAAAAATCGTATAAAAATGATTCACCAGGTTGAATTGGACATTGAGTTATGGCTGGAACTCCGTCTGAAAACGGTGTGTTTTCCACAATCCTCATAAGAAGCCCATGCCAATGGATTGTAGTCGGTTCACTAAGATTATTTGTTACTAAAATTTGAATATGTTGCCTTGGCTTTGCACAAATGGTTGGCGCAGGAAAATTATCGCAGCTAGGATCTTTTCCAGTGGGGTGGACAAGTATAACTGGTCGTTCATCTTAACCATCAAGATTACAATTAAGTTTGTCGGTGACTGTCCATTTAACAATAGAATTAAGATCATCACTTGTAACATCACATTTAAATTGTTGTGGTTCCCAATCGATATTACTTCTTTTTTGTAAAGGAGTTGATATGACCGAAGCTGTCAAAAGAAAAACTTCAAATAATACAGTATAAATTAATTGTTTCATCATCATTTTCATGTTT